TTTTCCCCCTAAAAATTTCGTAAGCCCTTACATGAGTACAGCGCATACCTGGGGGCTGAATTTGAATCTTCAGCTAGTTCATGCACAGGGAATATCCATAGAAAGTTTCAGCCCCTAACGCGAGTTCCCGAGATCACTTTCCGCCGAAAAATTTGCATATTTTTTTAAAGCGTCCGTACGCGCCATCTAGGCGCCCGTGCGGAATGAAATTAAAACAAGAGGGTCGCGTATGGTATGGGCACATATCCCCAAAGTTTCAGCCTTCTAGCTTTTATGGGTCTCGAGTTGAAAGTGGGTGATAAAAAGTGCGAGCACACAGACACAGACACAGACACACAGACACACACACACACACACACACACAGCTTCTTCCCAATATGCGTTTTTGCGATTTACATACATGCAAAAACGCATACTGCGACGACCCTGGCTGTGTGTTTGTGTGTGTTCGTCTGTACGGGTATTTCAACTCGGCAACCAAGCAAGCTCCGGTGCCAAAAGCTTGCCAGTGGGTTCCCCGGCCAAGTGCCACCCCAGGACCGCAGTACCATCAGTCATGCAAGTCTGGGCCTCGCTTACGAAAGAGTGAAAATTTTGGTGGGAAAATTGCTAACTTAGGAACGAGAAAAGCTAGAAGGCTAAAATTTTGGAGTTATGTTCCCCGTCCACATATAACTCAAAGATTTAAAATTCTGTCCCTAGATGTGCGAGGTTCACGCGTACGGCCCCGTGAGGGTTCCTAACGAAAAAATCGCTAACTTGGGAACCAGAAAAGCTAGGAGGTTGAAATTTTAAGGAAATGTTCACCGCCTATGTACAAATTAAAGTTATAAAATTCAGCCACCAGGCATACGTGGTCCTTACGTACGGCCCCTGACAGTTTTTGATAGGAAAATGGCTAAGTCGGAAACCAGGAAATCTGGGAAGTTGAAATTTTAGAGAGATATTCCCAGCCTATGCGGTCCCGTGGAAGTTGAAAATTGCTAGTTCGAGGACCAAAAAAATTGGAAAACTGTCCAAATACAACTTAAAGGTTTCAAATTCAGCTTCCAGGTGCACGTGGTTCTCATGTACGGTCACTTAAATTTTTGGCAGGAAAATTACTCATTAAAAAGCTGAGTCCTTTTCAAAAAACGACGGCTAAACGAAAATTGTTTATTTTCGTTACGCAAAATTTATGATGATTTACGGCACTGATGCGCACAAGGTAAGTGTAAAGAAACGGCTATTCATGCAGTAACCTAACTGCTTCAAGCCTGGTGCAAAAAAGCATGATCGCAGCGTCCCGCCTGGTGGGTTCCAGCCTGGGTTTTTAATTGTGAAAGAAAAATATTAACGAAAAGTGAACCTGTTTGAGAGAATTTTTTTGCACATCAGCAAATGAATCACAATCCTGTATCATCAATTCCTCATCCTCACCACCCTCACCACCACCACCAGCATCACCGCTGCCTTCCTTCGCAGTTCCTGCTACCGCACCACCACCTCCACCATTGCTTTCGTCAGCACCGCTGTTGGTTGGTGTCGCTGGATTCGGATTTACATTCATGGCCTGGAGCGCAAAAATAAGTAGCTGCACGCACCAGAGCAGCGAATGCGATTATAAGTTTTGGGCAATTCTGTCTCGCGGACGTTTGCTGTTAAAGATGTTCACTGCTTTAGTACCTGCTACGAACAGAAATTTTCGGAATGTCCCATTCCCCCAAAACTTATATTTTTCCGCACGTAAGACCTAGGCGCACGTAAAAGCTGAATTTAAACTTTTGGAGTTGAGCACGGACAAGAAAGATCCTTTTGAAATTCCGGCTTGCTACTTTGCCTGGTTCCTAAAGTTGATAAATAGCGGTGCGCACCAGGGCAGCCGGTGCGGTCATGAGTTTTGTGCAATTCCTTCTATCGAACAATTGCCTGCTAATGATTTTCACCGCTTTGCACCTTAGTCTGCGCAAAAATAGTTGAAATGTTGTCTGGTTCTTAAGTTGCAGAATTTTTAACTAAAAACTTTACGCACACGAGATAATAATTTCCCTTTAAAAACTTTCACAGCGCTGTACGTGGTACCCAGAGGGGTGTGAATGTTGAATTCAAATTTGCGAGGTCATACGCTGGAAGAGCAGATCATCCTAAAATTTCAGATTCCCAACTTCCGCGGTCCCCCAGATAACAGTTTTCACCACCGAAGCTTTCAGAGGGCCTTAAGTGACACCCGGACGCGCGGGAAGGCTGGAATTTAAATTTGAGAGAAGTCATACGTGGGCAGGGAACACACTCCTAGAATTTTAGCTTCCTAGATTTCGAGGTTCCCGAGATAATTCACCCGCCAAAGTTTCACGAAACCGTATATGTTACCCGCGCGCACGGAAGGACTGAATTTAAATTTTCTAGGTCACGGTGGACAAGAAACATATCCACAAAATTTCAGCTTTTTAGCTTCTGTTGTTCCCGAGACAATAATTTACTCCCCAGATTTCCACGGGGCCACAGGTGATACCTGAGAGCGCGAGAACACTGAATTTGAAAACGCAAGGTCGAGCGTAGGCAGGTGGTCACTGTCCTAAAATTTCAGCTTCGTAGATTCCGCGGTTCCCGAGATAATAATTTACCCGCAAAAATTTTTACGAGGCCGAGGTGATACCCGAGAGCGCCGGAACACTGAATCTGAATCTTCTGGGTCACATGTAGGCAGGGGACATGCTCACAAAATTTCAGTCCTCTAACTTCTGTGGTTCCCATGATAATAATTTTACCCACTAAAACTTTTACGGAGTCGTACAGGTTATCCAGAGGCAAGTGAAAGCTGAATTTAAATTCCCTGGGTAGCACGTGGGCAGGGAACATGCCCACAAAATTTTAGCCTCCTAGCTTCCGTGATGATAATTTTACCCGCCCAAACTTTTATGGGGCCGTACGTGTTACCCGCGGGTATGGGGAGGCTGAATTTATATTTGCGGGTCGCAATTGGGTGGGGAACGTCCCCTAAATTTTCAGCCTCCTAGCTTTTGTGGTTTCCGAGTTGAAAGCTGCGGACAAGTTGCTGCGGACACACATATAAACAAACACACATAGGCAATGCCGTGACAATATGCGTTTTAAAAACGTTACAATACTGCTGTTACGCAGCACAAAACGCATAAAAAACTTCCCGCAAAGCGCACGCATTCGTATGTGAAAGGTAGGCGCATGTGGATAATGAATCTAAAATTTCCTGCGCTGCAAATGGTCACACAACATTCTTTTCAAATTTTAGCTTCCTTGTTTCTCTGGTCGAGATGGTAATTCTCCTGCCAAAACCTCACACGTACGTTACATGAGACCTGCGCTAACGAGAGCTGAATTTGATATATTTGAGTTACACAGAGAAATTTAACACCCTTGCAAGGTTTCAGCTTCCTAACCTTCGTGGCCCCCGAGCTAATTAACTTCCGCATCATTTCGCATCGAAACTTTCACGCGGCTACAAGTAAGACCTAAGTGTAAATGAAGGCTGGATTTAAATTTGCAAGGTCGCACATGAACATTCTCCTAAAACTTCAGCTTCCCAGTTTGTTTGGTTCCCAAGTTGGAAACCCGAGACAAAATTCACTCAAACACACACGCACGCGAAAGAAACACATATACAAGATGGATCAGCTGTAGTTTATAGCGCCGCTCTCCAGCTTTTTTCAGTTGCTTTGACACTGATGTTACATCTCCTGATGATCAGCCTGCTGGTGCTCTTCATGTTTGTTTTGCCTTCTGAAGGATTACAGTGTCCTATATAACGTGCTGTTGTTGACGTGCCTAAGTTATTGCTCCTGCATAAAACGTGCGTTCAATCAGCGAATACGCAGCCAAGATACTGCTGGGGCGCTGAAGTACCATCATCGCAGGGAGAGGAGGAGGGGGACGACAGTATGCGTTTTGTGCAGTTGTTACACAGCAAAGAATGCAAAAATGTCAAACCCACGAGTCAGCAAATCAACGGTACTTCAGTATCACCAGCAGTTCCACAGCGGAACGTCAAACAAGCCCGGTAATCTTGCTAATGAGGTTGCTTTTGTCTTAAATTATCGATGTGGGACCCTCGACGTTACGATAACGCAATCGCACCAAGTGCCGCTGCACTAGCCATTTCTACCTCCAGGGCTTTTTCCCAAAGTGTACCATTACTTTGCAGATTGTCCGAGCAACCCCCTCAGTGCACTGTCTCAGATT